ACTATGGCTCCAGTGCATCTTGCCAGCAAGTCCCTGCACCCAGCAGGCCTCACCTCCTAGATTTTCCTGACAGTGCCACAGACTGGCAACCATGGCTAAAATACAACATTTGTGAAACTTTGTGAAACATGTAAGATCTGAACCATGACTTTTTATTTAACCTTTCAAAATGTGGACCACATTCAACTATTAATTTTTTAAAACAAAATAAAAAGGATATGATATTGCGAAGATGATGGCCAGAAGTTTTACCAACATTCAGAAGCTCAACTTCAACCTCCCAGGGGCAGACACCAAGGTGTCAGCTCAGTTTCTTTCTGGAAATTCCAGAAGAGAAACTATTTTCTTGTTTTGTCCAATTGGGAAGGGCCCTCACGCACCCCTTAGCTTGTGGCCACAGCACTCTGCTTCTCAGGCCACATTCTTCCTCCCTGATTCTGATCCTCCTGGCTCCCCTTAAAGAAGACTGTTGTGACAATTTTGGATCCACCAACATGATCCAGGATAAATGAAAGATTCTGGGATTTGAGATGTGGCCATCTTTAGAGGCCATTGTTCGACTTATCACGGGGAGTATGGAAGAAAACATTTTGATTTTCATTCTTGATGCTCCTAGGAGACAGGGACGAGCTAGCTTGATGCCAGACACAGGTTTCCTTGTTCCCTTGGACTCTAGTATCCTTGAAACTCCACACACTTGTCTGAGGAGCCTAGTGGCCAGGTCCCCTGGAGGCAGGCTGAAAGCCTCCCCGTGGGGCACTGAGCCTCGTTCCCAGAGCCTCACTCAGATCTCGGCCTCTTGTTGGTGGTGGAGCCTGCCTAACACATCAGACCCAGTCCACGGGGGATTCTCAAAGTGTGACTCCCATTGGCCAGACCCTTGGTGAGCCAGGCAGCTAGGATCCCAACAGGAACACGGGGCCAGTTTCCCAAACTTTTGTTTGTTTAATGAAAGACTGACCCATGACATCGTTTTCCTTTCATGGTCTCTTAGATTAGAAGGTTTTTGCCTTCCAAGCATTTATACTTCCTAAGGATAAATCTGATTACAGATTAAGGCATAATTTCCATTAAGCTTTCAAAAATACTGAACCTTAGTACACAGCCACACTGTCATAGTAAGGAACGCATTCTTGACAGTCTGAGGGAGCAGGCTGGGAATCCGGATGCAGAAATGAAGCGGCCACTGCAGCAGGAAACTCAGCCCCTTGTGTCTGTGGGATTACTTCTCCCAGTGCTACAAACCCTGAGTGGGAAATACTGGGGGCGGGGCATGACTCCACCTCTACTGAACATGCTCAAAGGGATTTTTTCCTCATCATTCTCTAAACAGAATAATATACCAAGTATTTACATAGAATTTGCATTGCATTTGGTATTAGAAAAAATGTAGAGGTTTTGAGGGTTTTTGTTTGTTTTTAGTATAAAAAAGACGTGTGTGGGATATGCAAATACTTAGTTACTTTATGGAAGAAACTAGAGCACCTTTCGTACCACCGTGAGCTTTCATGCCACAGTAGTCCTAGAACCAATGCCCTGAAGACACATTAGCAAGCAAGAACTAGGCTGAGGCGGGAAGTCTGTGGTCCAGGTCCTGCCATCCACTGGCTTTCTGAGCTAGGATGCCGCTCACCAGCATAGAGCCCATGTCACCCCTTTACAATCACAGCCCCTTCCCTGAATCTCCCACACATGCCCCAGCATGCCCCAGAATGGGAGTCAAACCATGGGATTTCTTCCTAAGTTCTCTAGTGAGTCCCTTGCAAGATCTGAAATGAGACCATGGGCTACATATTTCTAGAAAACAGGCTGGATCAGCTCTGGTAGAAGGATCCAGGGAGCCCCAAGGACTCTGAGACAGGGAGAGACAGGGCTATAGAGAGTAGGTGGACGGATTGGGGGAGGGTCACGTTGAGAGCTGCAAACACTGACTCCCTGGGCCTTAAGCCGGTAGAAACCCTTGCTCTTGGCCACTCCTGACACTGGGTATCAGGTCAGTGACAGCTAGAGCCTAATGTGACTTGAAAGCCTCTGAAAGAGACGCTCTAAGTCATGGTCAGCACTAGGGCCTGGGGTCCGTCTGCTGCCCAAGCTGCCGTAATGTCCCTCCCCTCCCGACCCTCCCCCTTCCCTACGCTCACCTTGTCTGAGCCAAAGCATTTTTCACCAAAACTCACAGAAGCAGCATCGGGACCAGTGTCCCCAAGACAATAAAGAGGCCTGAGGTCTCCACGCTCACCGCAAGCGAAAGGCTAAAACTAGTACCAGCCATTGGAGTCTCAATCAAGGCTGAGAATTCTGTCTAAAGAAATATGGCATTCAGGGAAAAAAGTGTGTATGTACGTATAGCGTAAGGGTATGTCTGCAAATGCTGCTAAAATTCTTTCCCTGGGGAAAGATGAACAACACTACCCCTCTTCCTACCGCCCCAATGACAAACCCAGAGCAGTGGGTGAGGGGTTACGGGAAGGAGGTGACTTTAAAGCACGCACCCTGGGAGGTCTGCACCCGTTGGGCTTCCCGTGGCTGTGCGCTGGAGCCCTCCCTATGTATCCCCACCTATATATCCCGTCCCTGCGGCTCCTCATTCCGGCGGAAGTACACACAGATGACAGGAAGGGGCGGAGGGAGACTCCGGTGAGCCTCCCATCATCTTCAGCAGTCAACCACCCCGGCTGTGACCATCTTCGGCCAGCAGGTACAGCTGGACTTCTGAAGATGGTGGCAGTTTGCCTCAGAGGACAGTCCTGTGCAACCACGCGCTTTCTGACAGGATGGCTTGCTAGGCCAACCGGAAGCACCAAGGAAAGAGAACGCCCACAGAGCCGTGCTGAAACCTTCTGCACACTGACGTTAAGTGTTCTAGCGTCTTTTTGCGTTTTATTTTCTCCAAACCCTGAGAGATAGGTAGGTTTTCCCTTTTAATTTTAGAGATTAAAAACAGAGCTAAGCAACTTACAGATATGTAGTACTGGCAGGGCAAGGATTTGAATCCAAGCTGTGTGAAGAGAGGGCTGGAGCTGATCATGGTCGAGCCGGATCATCATCATTCTGCCATGGTACTCCATTAAGTGACAAAAACAGATCACTGAACAATGCAATAGATCAACTGACTTCAGTAGATAATCTTTGTGCATGTGTGCTTGTTGCGGTACGTGTGTGTCTCTAGGTGGGATTGCCATTCTTAGACTAAAATCGACCATGCGTACATACTAATGGGAGCTCAGTGGGATATTCCAACAGATGCATGTAAAATCCACTGATATTCCAAGGCATGTCTTTATTTGGTGTGGCTGGAGCTTTTCCTGTACAAACAGCATTTATATGCCTTAAATACATATAACTTTAAAGACCCATTCAGAGAGAAAAGGCGACATATGTTCACACAAAAACATATACATACACAAATGTTCCGAATACTGCTATTCTTAAAAGCCCAAGGGTTTTAAAAAAAAAATCATTGAAACCTGAATGGCTAAATAAATTATGAGCTGGTAGAGGATGCAGCTCAGGACCCCAGTGGGCCGGCTAGTGAACAGGACATAAGCCAGAGTCATTTCAGGAGAGAAAACCTCAGGTGATAAAATGGTCTCCCCAGACTGGCCTGTGGTGAGCCTTTGTGCATGTTCTCAAATGATGACTGATGTAGGAGGGCCCAGATCACTGAGGATGGGGTCACTGCTAGGCAGGTGGTCCTGGGTGGTAAAAGAAGGCAGATCTGGGGCCTGGAGAGATAGCTCAGAGGTTAAGAGCCCTGGCTGCTCTTCTGGAGGTCCTGAGTTCAGTTCCCAGCAACCACATGATGACTCACAACCATCTATAATGAGATCTGGCGCCCTCTTCTGGCCTGCAGTTATACATGCAGACAGAACATTGTATACATAATAAATAAATAAATCTTAAAAAAAAAAAAGAAGGTAGATCCTCACCACCTCCCTTTACCCACCTGATGTCATATTCTCATCCCTTCAGAAAGAAGAAGAAAGGGGAAGGGAGGAGAGAGGAAGGAGGAAGGAAGGAAGGAAAAATAGAAAGAAATCAAAACAAACCCACAAAAAGAAAGAGAAAGCAAGCAAGCAGGCTATAAGCAGACCTCCTCCATGGCTTCTGCTTTAGTTCCTGCCTTCAGGTTCTTGCCCTGCTTGGGTTCTTGCCCCGACTTGCCTCACTGATACACCTTTATCTGGAAGCATAGATGGAATAAACCCTTTCCTCCCAAAGCTGCTTTAGGTCATGGTGCTCTGTGGCCACGAGAGAAGCCCTAACTAAGACACACAGTGTATACCTGGAAGGACGGTAGCCAGTCCAGCATGGCCTTCCTGTCTCAATACAGGTCTGAGCAGCCTCAGTCCACAATTATGATCTCATTAAGTCAGGAACTTCCATCTTTTCTCATCAACCTTGTATGTTATAGCGTCACCTTGGGTTACTTATCTAGACCAGCAGTACTTTAGCACTGTTAAGTGAAACAGTAACAGAGCAATTCCGTGATGGTTAACCCGACAGAGACAGCTAAGGAGTGCCTGACATGTGGGTGGAATGAACTGCCTGCTATGCTGAAGAAAGAAAGGATTCATAGCCCAGGCAGAATGGAGCCGGATGCTATGAGATTTCTTCACACAACAGGGAAGATACACAATTTTAAACTCGTAAGTTGGGAGTGGAGTCATGGCTCAGCAGTTAAGAGCACTGGCTACTCTTCCAGTGGACCCAGGTTCAACTCCCAGCACCCTCGTGGTGGCCCTCAAACTTCTTGTGACTGCAGCGCTGGGGAAGCTGGTATCCTCTTCTGACTAAAGGACCATTGCAAATATGTTGTACATAGACATGCAGAGAGGCAAAATACCCACATAAGCAAAATAATAAAATAGATTTTTAACTCATGAATTGATTATCTATGGAATTTTTTGTTTGTTATTTTTGGACTGTGGCTAACCTCTAGTAACTAAAACTGAGTAAAGGAAAACTCCGTTTTATAATTATAATCAGTATTATAATACCTCAGTAAAGCTGGTGCCAGGCTAAAAACAGTCACTTCAGGCTTTGTCTTCCTCCCTCCTTCTCTGCACGCTGCGGTCAGGTGGTGTGAGGCAAGAGGCCAGGGATCATCAGGAACCAAAAAGGGACAGTTTTATCTTGCTGGCTTTGGCAGCAATAATTTGGTGCAATAATTTCTGTTTGAAGCTTGGTTATGGCAAAAAAGAGGAAGTAGTCCAAGTTCACTCAGCCGTCAGGCCCAAATCCATGATCCAATCCTCCAAGGAACAGCAGATTCCTGTAAACACAAAGCCAGAGCTGAATGGGCCTCCTGGGTGGACTTCTGACTTTTTAAATGACGGTTTCCTGAATGAGCGCCCCAGTTCTCCTCTGTGAATGACCTATTCAAAACAGACCAGTTTCTGAATTTTCTCAGTGGTTTTTAACCAAGGCTCCTGTGCCTTAATTGTCCTGCAACCTAGAGTGGTAGGGGGAGAGAAACAAAGGAAATGTCCAATTAAGTCTCTCCTACAATTAGTAGGAAACCGTAATTTGGGGCTTTGTCGTGTTGTTCTGCACAATGATATTGTAATCAAAATGACTCATGGTGGAGAAGAATGCCAGGCCCTCTGGCTTGTCCTAAGAGAATAGGACAGGGCAGACTGGCACCTGACCCTGACCACCTGAGTTTGAGCATGTTATCTGACCCCCCCACACACACTAAATGAATAAGTGTAATTTTTTTTATAAATAAAAAATCTGCTTTTAATATTTTTTATATTTTTTATAAATAAAAAATCTACTTTTAATATTAATTTATTTTATGGATATGAGTGCTTTGTCTTCATATTCACCTGCATACCAGAAGAGGGCACCAGATCTCATTACAGATGGTTGTGAGCCACCATGTGGTTCTTGGGAATTGAACTCAGGACCTCTGAAAGAGCAGACAGTGCTCTTAACCACTGAGCCACCTCTCCAGCTCTGAATCAGCGTGATTTTAAAAGCAAATGAAACACAGATGTCAGATACTTGGTTCTGGTCAGGCTCACTCCAGATTCTTCTCCGTGACTGCACAAACCGTCCCAGCAAAGCTGCCTGGGCAGACAATGTCTAAGAGTTGACACATCACGCAAAACCTACTTGACCTCAGCTCGGGAAATGACATGGAGATAAGTTTGTAACAGCACAAAAGGACAAAACTGTCTTGGTGTCTTTTCCTGCTGCTGTGGTGAAGTATGCTGGGAAAAGTAACTTAGGGAGCAAGGGTCGATTGGGCTTACAGTCGCAGGCACGGTCCATCAAAAGAGGAACTCAGGAGAAGTGGTCTCGTAACCCACAGTCAAGAGCGGTGAGCAGTGGGCACCAGTGCTCTCTCTCCTCCTCAGGGCATAGGCCGTGAAATACCGCACTGAGCAGGGATCTTCCCATTTCACCTAACCCACTTAAGAAAACCCTCTCTGCATGCTCGGGGGCCATCCCCATGTGATTCTTGCCAAGTTGACAACATCAGCCACCACAACGAAGAATCGAGAGGCTCAGAATGGCCTCCCACTTTATCCACTGCTCTCAGAAAAGGTCCCAGACACACAGCATCATCTGGCCTGACAGGCCTTTTCTAAAGACCACTAGATTACCCAGCCTCCCTCACTATTCACAACAAACAAGATTCTGCAGGAATCACCTCTATGGGACCACATGGAAGACAATGATGTTAAAGACGCATGGCGTCTGCTTCCAGAGCCAGCCATCACTGTGACAGCAGTGTCTCTCTCTTGGCTGAGCCTGCTTGTAGGAGCAGGTGTGCTGTTTGCAGGGCATTGCTAAAAGTGGCATCAAGGAACAATCCTACAGTTGGGTATGTTTATTACTAAATACAGCCTGGCTTTTTGCCTCTGGTATTGTTTAATGCCAGCTGGGTCTTTTTTTTTTTTTTTTTTTTAAATAGGTTCAGGCAGGAACTGTGTAGGACTGATGAAAACTCAGAATAGCCATGGCCAAAAAGAATAAATTACACTCTACTTATCTGGTATGTAAGTCCTAACTGCTATTTGGATCTATGATATGACTTCTGTGAAGGTAAAGACTCCTACTGCCTCCAGACTTCCTCATCCCTACAGCATCATGATGGCCAGGGAAGGCTCACCTGTGTGTCAATCAAGGTTTCTGCCAGCAGCATATAGAAAAAGACAGAACAGAAAAGCCACATCCCTTCCTGTGGGAGAGTCATGGGCTATCTACTGCTTTAGCTCAGCTTGTATTGAGTAAAAGGTTAATTGTAGCCATGCATCCTTGCAAAGGAAGGTGAGAAGCGAGAGTTTAATTTGGAAGCCACAGTCCATCTTCAAATTGAACATACTGCTCTAAGAGGAAAAAAAAGTGGTGGCTGTAGGAGGCCAGCTACTGGGAGATAGATGCCAGGGGTGCAGCAAATGGCTGGAGAGAAATGCAGTCTCCTTGGAGATGAGCAAGTTCTGCTCTGCTCTTACTATGCCCCTTTCCTTGCCATCAACTGACCAGTGCGATCTCAGTGGAAATGGTGTGGGTCCCTTTCAGGCAGAGTCTATAAAAAGAGGGCACATGGCTCATAGCCTCTTCTTCAACATGAAACCAGTGAGGGATCCAGTAAGGTGGCAGACAGCCTCTATCAATCCCAGAGCTGCACTGACCTGGCACTGGCATCACCAAGTGCAGTTGATAGACTATGTTGTTTAGCCTGGTTATTGGCTAGCCTAGCACTCGGGAATTGCACCCTCAGTACCAGCTACGTAGGAGACTGAGACAGGAGCATGACCTGAACTTCCTGGGCTCAGGACAGCTGGTCCAAATCGCCAACTCAAATCCAAAACAAGGATTGGAAAGATGGCTCAGCAGTTAAAAGCCTGCACTCTTGCAAAGGATCCTCATCCGGTTTCCAGCACCCAGATCCAGAGACTCACCGGGACATGTGGCACCCTCTTCTGGCCTCCATAGGTACTGCGCTCACACATACCCAGACACACATAATTAAAAATAAAGACAAAATCTCTACATAATAAAACAAAACAACAACAAAGCCCAAGAGAAAATAGAATCCCATCCCCATCACTAAGACTTTTAAAAGTTGTTTCTCAGTTATTCATAAGACTGACCAGGAAAGGCTGTCACTGCATTGGATGTGTGAGCTGTCTTGGAAGAGAAATGAGATCTTTGACTGGCTGAGTCACCTGAGGCTTTCAGAATATCCTGGCCCTAGAAGCGATGCACAGAGAGAGAACACAGAATGGGATGCCAGCCCAGCTTGAGGCTGCCCTCGGGGTTGGCGTTTGTTGCTGCTGGAAGTCTGCAGAGGCCTCTGCAGAGGGAGAGCTCCGCAGGACCAGCGCAGTAGCGACATGCTGAGGGTACTTTCCCCGAGAAGAAAATCCTGTTTTCAAAGAGAACTATGATGTGAACTGACTGAACGGAATGCTCAGGTTATTCCCGCTGTGCTGCGTAAACCACAGACTGTGGTTCTTTCTGGCAGTGTGCAAACAAAGGAAGCTGCAGCTGAGGAAATGGGTGTCTGTAATGAAGCTGGGGCTGTGCTTCAGCTGTTGGGGACCTTTGAGTAAAAAAAGAAGCCCATGTCTGTGAGATACACGCAGAGATATCTATGTCACCTTGGTGAGATGGTGGGGACAAATGAATCCATTATGGGCCTACATTGGAATGAATCTGGTCCCCAAAAAACCCATAGGATGAGACCTGGACCACAGTGTGATGGCACTAAGAGATCTGCCCTTTGAGAGGTGGCTATGTGTAGACAGAGCCCTCAGACGTGGATCTGTGTTTTTGTAAGAGCTGCAAAGACCACAGGTTGGCCTTCCATCACAGCAGATACAGTGAGAAGACCCTCTCTGCGAATCAGGAAGTGGGCTCATGCCAGAGACTAAAGCTTTCAGCATTTTGGTGCTGGATTTCCAGCCTCTGCCACAGAGGGAAATATTTTGTTGCTGTTGCTGATAAGCCACCAGCTAATGGTGTTTTGTTATAGTAGCCCAAGAGAACAAAGCCATGGGATAGAGAGACGGGTTTACCCTCTGTTCGACAATGATCATGATGCCCCACAGGTGTTGTGAGGATAAGTAAAGACCTGAATGTACAGAAAATGTTTGCTCCTGTCCTCTTTGCTTCTCTTACCCAATCCTGGCTGCGCGCAGACACAGTATCTTTGTACACACACTCCTTATGCAAACAGACACAAAGAAGCACCGCAGCCCCTGGTGCTTGAACAGCCCACTTGGCGTTAGATGTCTTTTTCAGTTGTGTAGTCAGGACAACGAGCGCTATTGCTTTTCAGTGAGCGCTCCCCAAACGTATGTGTACACCCTTCGCCCTTGGATTTCTTTATTGGCGGTTTACCTTGAAGCTACTGTAATTCCCAGGATTTTGAGGTCTCAGTCGTGGCTCGATTCTGGGTGTAGCTCACTTGGTGCAGTGCTTGACTAGCGAGTCCGAGGCCCAGAACCGCATTAACTGGGCATGGTGGCACACCCCTGCTACACAGCAAGTTCCAGGCCATCCTGGGCTACGTGAAACCTATCTAAAATAAAAACAGGATGTCAAGGCTTTGCATGGCTCTTCTGTGGAGCTTGGCAGGTGCTGGTTAAATATTTAGACATTTTTCTTTAAAGAAAGAAGCACTGAAATTGAGGCCTGTCAGGCTTCTGAAAAAATGAGTCCTATTCCTTCTGGCCTCATTTAAACACTGCAGGTGTAGCTGATTGTTGCAGAGGCCACCTTTAGATACTTCGATGCACTTCTACATAGACCAGCATGACTGAACGCTTTTGTTTTCAAAGCCCATGCAGATAGCATTTATCTGTTTGCAATTTTCATACATGGTTTTATGGCTCTGAATATTAAGCATAGAGCTATTTGGCTTTGGATTTAAGTAAGTAGTTTGGTATGGTTATTTTGAAAGTAGAATGTCAAATTCCACTCTACGCAAAGGAAGCAAGTTTAAAATCCAGGTAAGGTTTCAGTAGAGTTCCACTTCACACCAGGAAGGAAGCATCTACCTGGTTGAGGTCAGGAAAGTGTAAGGGGTTGGGCACAGTGGTGCACTCCCCACCCCTCCCCCTTGGAACTGGGGGAGGGAGAAAGGGTGTAAAGCCTGAAGACTCCGGCATTCAGGGGGGACAGCTCTGCCCACATATCAACTCTAAGGTCAAGTTGAGCTACATGACCCTCTAGGTGGGGTTAGAAAGAAAGTGTAAAGGAGCTAATTATCACAGGTGGGGCCTCAAGCAGCAACTTCACACTAATTGCCCC